CATCTTCCCACAATGGGTACATGACTCATCCACAAACGCTGCCTCAGCGTGTTCAATGCCCAGACACACGAGGCAGCGTTTGTGACCATCCTGTGAGCCCAGGTAACGACCGCATCCAGAAACACACAAATAGAAAGTCATCTTTTTCTTTTTAAAAGACGCTCTCTATTTGTGTAAGCTCTTTTAGGGACTGCTCTCACTGGTGCTGAAACACGCAGGGGAACAGTCACTGCGAACACAGACAGGAATGTGCACCTGTCTGTGCGCGATCTCTCTCTCTCTCTCTCGCTGTCTTACCAGCTGTGAAAACAGCTTTTGAGCGCTCGTACGGCGCACCTTACCAGCTGTTACAACAGCTTTTTGGTTTGCTCAATACCACAGACAGGAGAGAGAAAAAGACGACTGTTCGCGCTGCCGTGCTGTAACGCCCGCACCGGGAAGGAGAGGTCCAAAGAAGAGGCTCGCTTAGTAACACTCTGTAGGTTTAACATGAAGCGTTTGGCTCCGAAGCAAAAAGCTAGCGTGCAATCATAACAGCTGCTGTTAAATACCCGCGCTGACGAGGACGCGCAGCTGATGCAAATGATTGCATGCCAATGTGCATTGGCTTGTTTTAGTTTCACTCGAAGTAGATTGGCCTCTCTAGCGAGATTCCTATTGGTCAGTCTGACCTACGTTGTAGTGACTGACCGATAGGGAACTACTGTTTCTTTACAAAGATAAATTAAGAAATTATGTTTACTTAAGTATTCAGTAAAACAATATGTTATTGCGAATATTATTGTTATTTGTTCATCACTGTGTCAGTGTTTTATTCGCTGACTTTAGCTAGCTTCTTTGCACGAAGAACAACATAGTGACGAAACGCGCTCTGTAGTAGTTTGTTTGTTTATGGCTACTGTAGAAACATGTCGCCGCAAAATGGCTATTTCAACGTAAGGGGCCGTGGTGTATGTAGATAGAAATGGTTCATTCTAAGGTAACAAAAACATAAAAACATTATTTAAGGTTCATTATTTAAGGTATTTATACACCACTGAAAACATAGTTATGCATATGATATTGCTTTTCTGTCAACAGATCCTCCTAAATATTACACAATGCATCTTTAAATATAATATGGTTATCATAAAATTTTTGCCATCCAGACCAGAGTATAGACAATGAGCCCAGGATATATATATATATATATATATATATATATATATATATATATATATATACATACACACTCACCTAAAGGATTATTAGGAACACCATACTAATACTGTATTTGACCCCCTTTCGCCTTCAGAACTGCCTTAATTCTACATGGCATTGATTCAACAAGGTGCTGAAAGCATTCTTTAGAAATGTTGGCCCATATTGATAGGGTAGCATCTTGCAGTTGATGGAGATTTGTGGGATGCACATCCAGGGCACGAAGCTCCCGTTCCACCACATCCCAAAGATGCTCTATTGGGTTGAGATCTGGTGACTGTGGGGGCCATTTTAGTACAGTGAACTCAGCCATCAGAGGATGGGTATATGGTGGCCATAAAGGGATGGACATGGTCAGAAACAATGCTCAGGTAGGCCGTGGCATTTAAACGATGCCCAATTGGCACTAAGGGGCCTAAAGTGTGCCAAGAAAACATCCCCCACACTATTACACCACCACCACCAGCCTGCACAATGGTCACAAGGCATGATGGATCCATGTTCTCATTCTGTTTACACCAAATTCTGACTCTACCATCTGAATGTCTCAACAGAAATCGAGACTCAGACCAGGCAACATTTTTCCAGTCTTCAACTGTCCAATTTTGGTGAGCTCTTGCAAATTGTAGCCTATTTGTAGTGGAGATGAGTGGTACCCGGTGGGGTCTTCTGCTGTTGTAGCCCATCCGCCTCTAAGGTTGTGCGTGTTGTGGCTTCACAAATGTTTTGTTGCATACCTCGGTTGTAACGAGTGGTTATTTCAGTCAAAGTTGCTCTTCTATCAGCTTGAACCAGTCGGCCCATTCTCCTCTGACCTCTAGCATCAACAAGGCATTTTCGCCCACAGGACTGCCGCATACTGGATGTTTTTCCCTTTTCACACCATTCTTTGTAAACCCTAGAAATGGTTGTGTGTGAAAATCCCAGTAACTGAGCAGATAGTGAAATACTCAGACCGGCCCGTCTGGCACCAACAACCATGCCACGCTCAAAATTGCTTAAATAACCTTTCTTTCCCATTCTGACATTCAGTTTGGAGTTCAGGAGATTGTCTTGACCAGGACCACACCCCTAAATGCATTGAAGCAACTGCCATGTGATTGGTTGATTAGATAATTGCATTAATGAGAAATTGAACAGGTGTTCCTAATAATCCTTTAGGTGAGTGTATATATATATATATATATATATATATTTATAAAACGGTTAGTTCCATTCCTTGATTCTGATTTGTCAATAGCTGTGCTTTATTCATGATAGAACCGTTCACCCAACGGTTCTATTTATCACTGCGCAACACTCCAGTTCGTTGTTTTTATTTGAGCTTTCATGCATATTACACTTTGGAACGTTGTTGCTGTTCACGGTCAGGGACTATTTTTTTTCTAGCGGAAGGAAGGCTTTTAGTGATTTTACTTCATGAAAGTTGCACTAATACATTTTTTTTTTTACTTTTTTACTAATATTTTTATTGTGTGGTAACCGTTTTATAAAAGCAATAAGGTACTCGAGGCAAGTGCTGTATTGTGAATAAGTAATGGCTGAAGGGGTTGCAGGCACTCCGCTTCGCGTCGTACCTAACAACGCCCTTCAGCCGTTACTTATTCACGATACAGCACAGCCTCTCGTACCTTATTGCTTACATATAACATAAATAAATTACCCAAAACTCAGAATCAAATGGAAACCATCAGATAATTCTGGATGATCACAATACAAAATCCTGTCATTCATTCTGAAGTGGCTCTTTGCAGGACTGTGCCGAGCACCGTAGGCCACAAACACACCGCCAGACAGAGTAATAGCCATCATTTTACTACAGAGCTATCCAAATGGAGGTTATGCTTCAAGAGGCCTTCATTAAATGCAATCTAAGGACTCAAAAGCTCCCTCAGCCCAGGTAATTAAATGTTTTCAGAGGAAGTAAGGCAAGACTGAATACTGCTTTACATGACATAAGAAGATAGTTGCATCCCAATGCAAGTGATGTGTACAAACAGAATTCCCTTGGGTGAATACTTAGTGGATAATTATAACCATTAGGCTTTGACTTATTGGGTGAGTGTTTCCTAACTTGTAAAATAACATATGCACAAAAAAATAAATAAAATAAATAATAAAAAATTAAAAATTTAAAATAGTTTTCCAACAATCATGACTGTGAACAGCTCAGTAATTTTTTAGAAGGTTTAACAATCCCTATTGGGTAACACTTTACTTGAAGGTTGTGCATAAGACTGACATGACACCTTCATAATCATGACATGACACATGTCATGAATTTGAAGGCGGTTTTATGCATGTTTATGACAACTGTCATTAGGTGTCATTCGCTCAATTATGACATTTTAATATGACATTGTTTGAGATGTCTTTGTTATGACAACTTGATATAAACCAATACATCATAACCTGTCAGTGTCTTTGTCATGACAACTTGACGAGATAAACCAATACATCATAACCTGTCAGTGTCTTTGTCATGACAACTTGACGAGATAAACCAATACATCATAACCTGTCAGTGTCTTTGTCATGACAACTTGACATTACTAAGAAAACATAACCTGTCATAAATATGTCATAAACATGACATAGCAGATTAATTATCAAACTTAAGAAACCACTTAGCTTTATGGATTAACATTACATTAAACTGTCAGGTGGTTGGTTTTGACATTGGCTGTTATGAGGCCATTATAACATTTTAATGACAAATTCAATTTGAACCACTGTAGTTGAGGTCAAGAAAAATATTAATGACACAGTTATAATGGCCTCATGACAGCCAATGTCAAAACCAGCCACATGACAGTTTAATGTAATGTTAACCCATAAAGCTAAGTGCTTTCTTAAGTTTGATAATTAATCTGCTATGTCATGTTTATGACATATTTATGACAATTTATGTTGTCTTGGTAATGTCAAATTGTCATTACCAAGACACTGACAGGTTATGATGTATTGGTTTATGTCAAGTTGTCATAACAAAGACATCTCAAACAATGTCATATTTGCATAAAAAATGTCATAAATGATCGAATGACATAAACATGCATAAAACCTCTTTCATATTCTTGACATGTGTCATGTCATGATTATGAAAGTGTCACGTCAGTCTAATGCACACCCTTCAAGTAAAGTGTTACCGAATAGGTAGTCTTGACACACATATGACCCTAATTCACAAAATTAATTTAGCTGTCTCACTACCTCCTACATGTGAAACATTTATAAGGCAGTTTTTATACCAAAAAAAAAAGGGCACAAAAAACAAGAACATTCAAAAGCTTGTGTTGAGAATGATCTAAAAATGACCTTGGCAAAATGCTTGATAGCGCTATAAAACATGTTTTGAACACCTATTTGCCGGTTTTGAGTAGATGCCCAGACGATGTCTCATTTTATGGCTCTTGCATTCAGGGTGTGAGGCTCTTATGGAGGTTACATTAATACATAAAAAATGTGTAGAGAAGCAGTCGAACAGGCAGCTCAAGGCTGAACTCGCCTCAGTCTATGTAAATACAGTAGAACCAGGGCAGGAAAGGGCAAAGCCAATTATTTTACTATATCAACACATGGGGGAGGATGGTGACAAGCTAGTGCAACAGCTTATATATGCTGGAAAAAAAACATAAATTGTCTAAGAAAGCCAGAGAAACGTGAAGTAAATAAGACGACAGGCTGACATTGGCTAAAACAGCTCTGATGGAAAGAAATATCTGGTGATAATGTGGGGTGCATAGTCTGCATGCTGTCACATATTGATTGGTTAATGTGTTCTATGATTATAGGCTCACCTCAGTGACATTGTTGTTCTCCAGTGGTCCATTGAGATCAGACCGCTGCTGCTTCCTTGGCTGTTCTGCACTATTAGACACCTAGAGAGAATTTAAATTGAGAGAAATGAGTGAAAAATGAGTGGAGAGTGAAATGTGACTTTTTAAAAAAAACAGATGATGGGTTGCAGACAGCATTGAACAGCATTAAAAATTTGATGCTATCCAAAAAGCCAACATGAACAAATTAGACAGTACAATGAACACAATGTATTGAAACACTTTGGTAAAATGAACAGATGTTGTCTTTAACTGAAAATGCAGTGCTTAAAAAGACAATTTTAATCTTTGTCTGTCTGCAGGAAAGTTAAAGTCTCAAATGAGCACTCTGTCTACTGCACATAAGGACATTATTACTTGATGAAATTAATTTGTTGCCTGACAGGATAAAATGTAATCTCCTCATTGCCCAAAGGCAATAAAAGAAGCAGGAGGGTAATAGAACTTCACAAGACATTCACTGGACCACTGAGGCAATCTGACTAAATAGCACCCCTTCACCTAATTCCAGAAAATATCTAAAAAAACCATCATTTTTCAAACTCGATTCGATTTTTTTAAACTTCCATTAGAAAGTCAGCACCTCTTCTCATTTTTCAGTAAACCAAACTACTATTTGGCATAATGCATGGATATCATTGTTTGTCTTTATTGCTTGCTTAGTGACTTTAGTCAGAGGTTTCTAGAAATGAGCCAGTTTTCATTTTGGGGTTGTTCAAGCAGATGAGAAAAAAAACACCCACACAATGTACCTGAGTGAGCATAATGGGATGGAATCTAAAAAGCTTCTCAAGGTAATGTATTCTAGCAGGGTGGAAATTTGTTTATTCCTGAATATTAACAAATGGCTGCACATATGAAAGTCATTTGGGGATTTCAAGAAATTGCTTTTGATCAGGGTCCCCTTCATGTCTGGGTTACGAGACGGTTCCAATATCTGCCAGATGATTTTCTTTCATCCTTTTCAACTTGCCGCTCAAACTGAATGCTTTCCCCTTGAAATGAGCAAGTAAATGGTAATAACGGCATATTCTCTATAATTGTCTTTGGATCTACCCCCAAAATTATGCATAAATACATTTACATCAAATTAAAGAATACATTCTGAGCCATCTCCAAGTATCACATTTTATGCATCAGCTCTTAAGAGCATAAAATAGTAGATTATTACTCATTGCTCAGCTGTCAAGATATTGAGGTTCAATCTTGGGCATAAATAAGGACTAGTTTTGTTTACTTAAATGCCACTTGAATTTAAATGAGGGTTGTCAACATTCACATTAATATTTAACTATAATAATGAATATGTATATTACAGAGTGACCTTTAGGGATTATATTTCTTATTAGATTAAAATAAGTAACATTCATTATTACATTAATATTGACTGTTTAACTATTTAAAAGGAAGCAGAATACTTTCCGAGTTTTAAAGTATGGTACAGAAATCAATCAATCACTCAATCAATCAACATTTTAAACATTTACATTTTAAAATGTATTAAAATAAATAAAATAAAATTATTTCACAATATTAATCTCTTTCTTTGTATTTTTGATCAGATATTTGCAGCCTCGGTGAGCATAAGAGACTGCTTTTAAAAACATTAAAGAATTGTACCAACCCCACACACTTGTGGACGGTAGTGTATATACATCACAGACCAGCTGCCTTCAGAAAGACACTAATAAGAGATAATGGTAACACTTTACAATAAGGTTAATTGGTTAACATTAGTTAACTACCTTAGTTAACATGAACTAAGAATGAACAAAACTTCAACATTAATTTTTTAATCTTAGTTAATATTAATTTCAACATTTACTAATACGTTAGTAAAATCAAAGGTTGTATTTGTTAACATTAGTTAATGCACTGTAAACTAACATGAACAAACAATGAATGAACAGCTGAATTTTTATTAACTAACATTAACAAAGATGAATAAATACTGTAACAAATGTTTTGCTCATTGTTAGTTCATGATAGTAAATATATTAACTAATGTTAACTAATGAACTTTATTGTAAAGTGTTAACGAGATCCTTTATTTCATCATTTATTCCATCCACAGAATATTAGTTTGAGATAAATTGAATACATTGAATAAATTGCAAAATAAATTGAAAACAAATTCTCTATGTATTTAGTTGATCTTACTGCTTTCATATTTACGGAGCTGATTTATTCTGTTTTAACTGAACCATGTATTGAATTTAATAAGCTGCAACAGATAGATGCATTTACAGCTTGGTATGAAAATCCACCTACCTGCTCTCTCACTTGGTCCTGTGTCCATCTCTGTCTGTCCTCTGGTGTGTGAGGTCGTACCTTATAGTTCCTCTGGAGCTCAGAATTGTGTCTGGCAGGGGGGATGTTGAGGGATTTGGGTCTTCCGTCATGACGGTGAGGCTGAGGGTATGGGGCAGGGGCAGGTTCGGGTTTGGAGCGGGTCTCTGGCTGGTACCCGCTTGGTGCTGGATCAGGTGCCAGCTCCTCTGGGCTCTGATCAGTGCCACTGCTAAGACTGCCCATACTCATGCTCATCTTAATCTCAGCCACTATCTGATCAATATCCTCCTCCGCCTCCTCTCCCGTCTCCCCCTCTGTGCCTTTATGCCCCCGGTACGCTGACCCGTGCATAGAGTTTCCATTGTCCTCTGTGGCATAGCAGTCACCTGCGTAGCCATCTCTGTCTTGCCCCACATGTGGTTCTTCCTCCTGATCAGGGCAGTAGCCCTCACTCACCTCAAAATCCTGCACATCCTGATCTTCAACAGGAGGTGGAATCTGGTCCTGCTGGGGATCCGGATAGTGTTGGTGGTGGTGATCGAGAACAGGTTCGGGTCTGCCGTCGTAAAGCTGCTGATCAGAGTCCTGCTCGAGTACTTCGCAACGCACCTCTCCATCACCATGTGCATTCTCCTCTACCCATTCTTCAACCACTTCCTGGCACTCCTCTGTGTCCGGAGGTGGCTCCATGCGACCGTCCGGGTGTCTGTATTCTGGGTCGTTACAGTCCATTCCTTCCAGGTAGCTGTCATCCTCAGGACAATAGCGGATATAATATGTCACGCCTTCATCCTCTTCCGGTAGCCCTTCATCAAAATCGTCTTCTTCTTCATCAGACGTATTGTTGACGTAGTCTGAGCTAGAGTCTCCATCCAGACTGTCCGGGTGGCTGTGGTATTCTCTGTGGCCATGGTCTGGAGTAGTGGGTGTGGTCGGTCGGCTGTCTGTCAAATCTGCCTCTTCTTGGTTGTGGTAGGAGTGTTGGGACTCCTCAGGTTCCCCATGCTCTTCATACTCCTCCTCGGGGTGCTTAGGGTTGGGGTACTGGGCTGGGCAGGAGCATGGAGCTGAAGCGTGAGGCTCTGCGGCCATGCTGCTGTTGGTCCCTGGCCTCTTTCTCTGAGCCATTGAGAACCACTCACAGGCCGATCATCACTGGAAACCTCAATCCTGCTAAACAAAAACACATGGATAATAAGTTTGGCAACATTAACCATAACCACCAATTAAATTGCATAAAAAGCACTGTCTGCATTAAAACAGTCAATTTGTCAAGGTAGGTTGACAACAAAACCCTGACAATCAACATAAAGCACATACAGGTGGAAATTCACATTAAGATTTGCCTGACCCTTATTTTATAGCAATCAACTTCTTTATAACATATCTGACCAACCAATGTAAATCTATGAAAATATAAGAAATGATTTATGGCTCAAATGGTAGAGTGTGGCGTTAAAAGGGGGTGGGTTTGATTCTCAGGGAACACAATAATAAACACTGAGTAGATAAAAATGTTCGTCACTTTAAAAAAAGGCATATGCCAAATGTATACACTATCTTTGAAAGGTTTGGGGTAAGATTTTTTTTTATTGCTGAATACTTGTATTCAGCAAGGATACATTCAATTGATTAAAAGTAATAAAGACATTTGTAATGTTACAAAAGATTTCTATTTCAAATAAATTTGGTTCTTTTGATCTTTCTATTCAACAAAAATTCTTTACAAAAATTATCATGGATCATGTATCATATTAAGCAGAACAATTGTTTTCAAAATTGATTATAAAAAGAAATGTAATTTAAGCAGCAAATCAGCATTCAAATTATTTCTGAAGGATCATGTGACACTGAAGACCTGAGTAATGATGCTGAAAATTCAGCGTTGCTATTACAGAAATACATTCTATTTAAAAAAATATTAAAATAGAAAACGTCTCGGTTACGTATGGTAACCCTCGTTCCTCAAGGAGGGAACGGACACGTATGTCAGAAGTGATTCTGACGAATGGGGATCTCGCTCGAGAGCCTATCTACTTCGAGTGTAACTAAATGAGCCAATGCACATTGGCATGCGATAATTGCACCAGCTGCTGTGCATCGCGGCGCGACAATATAATGAGCGGCAGCTGCATCGCATCCTTGTTTTTCCGCTGAGGAGCCGGACTTGTGACTCGGCCGTACAGTGGAAGCTCAGCAACTAATAATAATAATAATAATTCATTACATTTATATAGCGCTTTTCTAGGCACTCAAAGCGCTTCACATGGAAGGGGGAATCTCCTCAACCACCACCAATGTGCAGCATCCACTTGGATGATGCGACGGCAGCCATAGTGCGCCAGAACGCTCACCACAAACCAGCTTACCGGTGGAGAGGAGACAGTGATGAAGCCAATCAGTGTATATATATACACTGTATATATACACACATGAGCAACTGTGGCGAGGGGATGTACGTCTCCGTTCCCTCCTCGGGGAACGAGGGTTACCATACGTAACCAAGACGTTCCCCTTCGTCAGCTCACTATTACGTACATCAGAAGTGAATCTGACGAATGGGGATATCTACCAAAAAGCCTCTGCTGCTGGACCTTCCAGCGCTCTGCTTGAGCCTCCTGGCCTGACCGTAGTGTTGGGCAGAAAGTAGGAGCTCTACGCAGAGAAGGTCAGTCACTGCTGTTCCGAAAGACCCACTCAGTGTGACTTATTGGATAACGCTGGGAAAGCGTGCCCTTAGGGAAGGGAACGCTGCGGAAGTCACATCCTACCCCGGAGGGAGGCACTGTGCCGGTTACACATATAGACTAGCCAAGCAGGGTAGTACAACATATGGTATTCTCTGGGGTGGTTCCAGCCTAGTTATAGGCGGATTCAGTCTCCTCGCTCCCCTGAGGAACCTGACGATCAGGTCATGCTTTCCCAATGACTTACCTTCAACTGCATCGTGATGTGCGGTGATAGCGGCAACATACACTTTGAGGGTGGAGGGAGACAGCCTTCGCTCCAACCCATCTTGCAGGAAAGAAAGCACGACTCTGATCGGACATCTTCAGGGGTCTTCCCGGTGGGAAGAAGTGATTGTGTCTATCACCACCTGAGGTAGGTCACCTAGAACCTCCGCGTCCCATCCATGGACCAGACATGGAGTTTCTAGAGGTCTGGAAGTGGGTACCATAGAGTGCCCCGTCTCTGAGAAAGCAGGTCCTTCCTCAGAGGAATGGGCCAAGGAGGGGCTGTCGCGAGGAGCATAAGTTCTGGGAACCAGGTCCAGGTGAGCCAATACAGTGCAACTAACAAGACCTGCTTCTCGTCCTCCCTGACTTTGCACAGTGTCTGTGCGAGAAGGCTCACTGGGGGAAACGCATACATACGCATACAGTACGGACCAGTACATGCTTGCCATGTAGCGGCCCCTTGAGGCGGCCCAGTGCAAGGCGTACTGTGAGCAACTCGAGGCAATTGATATGCCAATGCAGTCGAGGCTCCGTCCACAGACCTGAAACTGTATGCCCGTTGTATGCGCCCCCCCCCCCAGCCGGTGGCAGAGGCATCCGTGAAGACCACAGCATGCCTTGACACTTGTTCTAGTGGAACAGCTGCCCGTAGAAACGAAGGGTCCGACCACGGGGTGAAGGTTTGGAGGAAGTGCGGGGTGACGTGCACCCGGTACAGTCTCCAACAGTGTCGCCGAAAAAGGCCACCTAGTGAGATGGGAGCATCGAGAAAGCGAACTTTGGCGATGTCTCGCACCTCTGCAAGGTTTAGCTCTGGGGCGCTTCTGAAAGTGTGGGTGTCAAGTCTGAATCTGATTCAGCATGAGCACAAACACCATTAAAGTGGGAACTCAGCATCATCTTCATTTCCAGAGCGTAACAGCCCTCTCTCCAATGCAGCGATCGACATCTAATCCTCCCCTGGAGCCCCGAATGAAATGCTTGGTACCTCATGAGAAGGACCAGTAATCCCATCTGAAAGCTGCCAGGCATGCGAGACAGTGAACATGGCCGTCAAACTCGATGGCACACGGCACGCTGAGCGCTCAAGCCCTCATGAGAAAGGCAAGACGAACAACGTGCCGACGTGGTCATGCTCTTGTGAGAGAGCATAAACCACCCACGAACGCAGTCTCAGCATTTTTGCGATGCGCTAGAGGAGTGAGGGGACCGGGGAGGTGGTCTCGTCGGAGAATGCTCACTGTAATCCTCAGATCACCAACGCTATTAGCCAAAGTAGTCCTTTTCTGGTGGCCACCAGAAGAGAAACTAGATCGGGGAATAGGCAAGGGGACCCCACCTCGTTTGAGGCACTTGAGTCTCGACCGAGCATCTAGAGCTAGAGGGTTTCTACAGGTATCTTCAAATTAAATTTAATGCATTTTTAATGCCATTTTAAAATGTTTTAATGCCATATACGACCCAAGAATAACCACGTGTATATATATATATTAGGGCTGTCAGTTAAACGCGTTATTAACGGCGTTAACGCAAACCCATTTTAACGGCGTTAATTTTTTTAAGCGCGATTAACGGCCTTTTTGGCCTAGCAAACTTTGTAGTTTTTTTTCACATGCTTTTTGCAACAGGACGCGCCATGCGCGGCGCGGCGCTATGAAACCCATTCATTTCAATGGCTTGCGCTGCGCAAGGACGTTTTATTGCTTCGTCGACCAAAGCGCAAGCGGATCTAGCTAGACCAGAAACAAAACAACAGGCACGACGCCGCACACACTCGTTTGGGCTTGCGAGCCGGCCAAATAGTTGGTTAACGTTAAGTTTTGAGTGGATGACACAAGACGCCAAACTGGATGTCAATAAGATTCTGAATTGAAAGTTTACTTTTAAAAAGTTGCCAAATGGTTCCATTGACAAGACCAAAGTGATCTGTGTGTTTTGTCGTTGTGAACTGAGCTATCATCATCGCAGCACGTCCAGTCTGAAATACCACTTTTCTTTTTTTTTCCCAAATTATATAACATAATACAGTAGATATAAATGTTTCACATATACTGTTCTAAATTATTACAAATCATCATAAGATATGAAGAGCATTAAAGATAACATTCATATCAATGAAATTAAAGAACATTCGAATCACATATTAGAAACAAGAAAAAGAAAGAAAGAAAAAAAAACAATGGAAAGGAGGTATACATGTAGAATTAAAATAAAGAAGAGGAATTTAATTCTTTTGAAACACAACTTGATGGCCAAGCACACACACACACAGCTGATGCGAATTCTCCGCCCCCTCGTCAATATCAGGACCTGTCAGTATTTCTTTCACCCTTTTATTGATAGACAGTGTTACATTGTGTGAGAGATTATTTGCTCCAAGTGAGAATGTTAGTGTGAAATTGAACACAGTATTGTCAATGTTGTTTTCAATAAAAAAAACATTTGCACAAAGCAAGCCGATCCACTTTTCCATGTTGATAAGAGCATTAAAATGAGAAAAAATAATGGGACAAAAAGAAATCAAGAGACATTTAGAATAGATAAAAATCTGCGATTAATTGCGATTAATCGCGAGTTAACTATGACATTAATGCGATTAAATATTTTAATCGTTTGACAGCACTAATATATATATATATATATATATATATATATATATAAAATTCTTTTTTTCTGGAACACATAGGTGTAATTTGCGGGTAGGACATGTCGATTGTGTCCCCACCATTTTTTAAACATCTCGCGGCGTATAGGACGGGTCGCAGGAATGGTGTTGTTTCATTAGTAATATTATTATTATTATTAATAATTGCTCACACTTTCAAAAGAGAAGATTTGACACATGGCACTGACAATTCAACCAAATACAAAGTATTTATTCTCTTCCTCTTCCACCAGCACCGTCTCCTCCTCTGTCTCCTCCTCTAATGGGTCTACCCTGTTCGCCACCTTCTCAGGGCCGGCATCCTCCAACCTGGCCTTTTTAGGGGGCTTTCCTCTCAGGGCGAATGAGAGGATGCTTAATTGCTTTGTACCTAACATCTATGAAAGACAGATGCAATGATTAATGCATCCATGGCCCGGATATAATTATAAAATTTGACATGATTTTAAAAGTGACCTATAACATCAACTATGCAATACGCTTTAATTTATTTAGTGCTTATAAAATGATTAAGCCTATTTGGAGAGAGAGATGTTTATAATGTGACAATA